CCAAGATAAACCGCCCCTTGCTGTTGCCATGATAGTGACCACCAATGGCACACGAGCGTGGAGACGATATCGACTGGTGGTGGCATGCAGAGACAGGCTACGGCTTCCCCCTAATGTCCTCGCAGCGCTAGAGTCCCGCACACGTGACCATGTGCTGACGACCAGCGGATTTTTCCCCTGCTCAATTGATCGTGAGTACCTGTATGGTTACGCCGGGGATGGTTACAGATCTCCCCTCTGGCTGTGTGCAGCTTACAATGGGTCCCCAGCCCTCGTTCATCGACACAGAGGTCACAAGGTCTTCTTTCATGCTGGTATACAGGATCGACAACTTGTGGTAATCCCTGGTATCCATTACTTTGATGCCCATCGGTTGCAACCTGAGCTTTTGGCCGCACTCGATCGCCAATTTGATCCAGGCACTATGAAATTTGCAAGCCCGGAGGGTGCAAGAGACACAGTGAGTGACCCATCCTCGGGTAAAGAAGCCGCCTCTACCGATGGAGAAAGTGATCCAGAAGACCCTACCATCTCATGGTGTCCACCCATACCTGAAGCAGCCGAAGATCCCTCTGAGGACGAGATCTTGAGCGCAGCTGATAAGCTAGCAATGTTAATTGACAATATCCAACCTGACGGAAACCCTTTCTGCATACCAGAAAACCTTGGCGTTCTCCCGCCGCTATGGCTCCAGGCGAGACTGACGTTGTCCTTGATTGCCATCCAAGAAAAGTTTGCGCGCGTCTTGCTGAGTGTGGCGGGTGAACTGTGGTTGCGCGGGCAAGGTGCCAAGGAGGTGGAGGATGTCCTTAATCAAACAGCTAGGGCTCTCACAATTCGATTGGCAGAGAAGCTCGCCCAGGCGATGAGCTCGTTGATGAGATTGGCTGAATCCATGGTGACTCCAGAAACTGAATGCCTTTTGTATGCCACTTACTGGTTTCGGCCCATCCTGTCTGAACTCATTGGCTCAGCCCGCGAGAGCTCCGAAGTGAATCGGAGTCGAGCGCCGAGTGGCCCTGTGAAAGTCCTAGTCACAGATCGGCCGCATCGGCGCACTACTGGGTTAGTGGACCTTACGAGTGGCGCCTCTGCCCTCTTGGCATGGTTTCCGGCTAGTTGGGCCAGTAAAATTGCTCCCAAACTCCTCGAGAATGCTCCTGAGAATGCACAGAAACCTCAAGAAATCAACATCACGTGCCCGAAACGTTCCTATGACGAGACTCCCGTGGAAGGAGAGAAGCAGCTGCTCCAAGCAGTTTAATTTGTTGCTAAAAATTTGCCTGGTTTTCACCTGGGGTTGGATGAAGACTTTCAAATGGCTGGAAGCTTCCAGGAGCTCATCAATGGGTACACCACAGGGCTCGTTGAACCATGTATGCTGCGAGGTCTCCAACCCCTTGGATCGAATCGTACTACTCTTGAAGTGATTATTCTCTCTTCAGAAGGCCTTACCCCTGAAAATGGAAAGAAACAGCCACACTGTGTCCACTTGACTGGCCATCCAACTGCACTCTTTTACTATTGTGGCACATGAATGGGAGTCTTCATCAAACAGAGGCGCGACTCAGGAAGCAACTGTCACACAGCCACATGTTTGCTGAATGGACAGTCCACCTCGACAGATTTGCGGAGCGAAATTTATTCCAGCAACCAGCAGTCTATATAGCGGAACATGCCTTGCAAACCAACCTGCGGGAACGAAACTTCCCAGACAGGCGAGTCCGCCGCAGGGTCCCTCCGGAAGATCTGGATGAACATCGAAGGGCGCTCAGAGCGCTTCATCAGCGTGCTACTGCCCAGCAAGCAGTGAACCCAGTTTCATTTGGGCTCACCAATGAATGGTATGACACCATTACAGCAGACAAAAAACACCATTTGGAACATTTCACGAGAGGTATGACATGATCCCCAGCTCAACCCCCCAGTATCACACTTTCCTTCGTATGTCCACCCCCTCTCCCCTCCCCTTATCTTTTTCTGTTTCACTCGGGGCTTTCACCCTTTGGTTGGCTTTTGTTTCATCAATCACGGTGGTGGAAGATGATTTAGGTGTCTAATTGGTTTATTTGTCACATCTACTTTAAGTGTACTGCTCATACCCAGTGTGTCTGTCCAAAGACGTGACAGGTGCACTGGTATGCAGCAGGAGACACAGTTTCTCCATTTATAATTGTTAGGTTCAGCATGCGACACATGCCTGGCTCCAACCAACCCTGATCTCTCCATCAGTTGGGAGCCACAGTTGGCTGTGTGTGCGAGTGCCAGCTTAGGCATAACAGATCGGGCCGCATGGCTTCGTTAATACCCGTTTTCTGCACGAGCTGTCCCATTGAGAGCTTAGCTTGCTAAGGTTGCCTCTGCCATGAAGCCTAGTGCACGCACTCGCTTTCTCGCAGTCGTTGCCTGACAATCATCGATGGGTAAAGATGCTGTTGTTTTCCCCAGATGCAGTCTTGATGAGCCACCCACTCCCCCACCCCTTCCACCAACTAAGGCACTTGAATTCGCTGACTCATCCATAGGTTTTGCCATCCGCAGAGCTACATTAGGTGTTGGTGCCTTTTTCGTTCTTTTCTGTTTGTGATTACTGTTCCCTGCCTGACGTGACCCTCACTCCCCCTCGGATGTTCCTCCTTGGCGCCTTGGTCCAGGTTTTACTGGTCCCTCCCTCTGGGTATCGTTGCTTCCGGCGACGGCCTGGTTGCCTTGCCTTTGTGATTGGAGTGATTGTTGTGCATTGATTTCCCCTCTTCATGGTGTCTCATGGCACTAAAGGCCTTTGGCCCTGTGTGGGGATCTTTCCCTCTACACCATGTTTCCTGTGTTGTTGGAGTGCTGTGTGCACCCTCACTGAGGTATTCATCATAGTATGATCCTTGGCCCCTTTTTTGAACTCCGCTAAGGCACGTTTGTACCCCTTCTGGTGCGGGTGTGTCCCTCTCCCTCTGTCCTCTGCTGCCTCCTGGCTCCTCTCCTCGCTCCTTCTGTGTGGCCGGTGTCGTTGTGTGTGTTTTGTTTTGGCCTCTCCCCCCTTTGGTGGTTTGCTTCCCCCCATGTTGGCAGGGTTCTCTGTGGTGGTTTTTGTGTCATCTGGTCCATCTGTTGCCTGGATACTGAGGTTACCGCTCTACATAATTGCTCTGTCATTTCACCTTAACTGCATTGGTTGTATCTTTAGTTACTCTAAATTCTTTTGCGGTGTGGCAGATTCCTGTCACCGTCCCCCCCCTCCGTTTTCCCTCTTTTGTGTCTTTTTATGGTTTTGGGCTGTTTGATTCATGTGGCTTTTTCGTTGGCTGTCTGGGGAGGGCCCTTCTCGCTCTGTTTTGTTTCTGCGATTCTCCGGGAGGGGCGATAGATCCCTGATAGAGCCATGGACCAGGCTGCACTGCAGTGAGCTCTACTGGCGCTGTCCAGTGGTGCTTCCTGCTGTTCAGTCTGGAGCGCCCTAGTGCAGCAAAGCCTGCCAACATGGATCGGTGCGCTGATGGGACGTAGTGATTCTGCTCATGGCTCACTCTAGGTGAGAGTGGCCTATGTGAGATGCACTGCGAACCTCTGGAACATCTGAACTGCAGCAGTTTTTGCTAGGACGATGACACCTAGTGAATCCTGCTAGTCATCTGGTGCTGGTACAGCGAACCTAGCCACCTCCTCAAGTTTGTGGCTTGAGCACGATTGCCATGTGCGAGCGGCGCAATTGAGTACAGGTCGCTGAGTAGCAATCTTCCTTTGCTTAAGCCTACCCTTTGCACGAGTGTATTTTATTCATCTGCAATGACCTTACGGAGAGGATCCTTTTTATCTGCGGAGATCTTTCACCATTGGCACCGTTTCAGGTCCCCTTGGCTTCTTACGATATGACAGCATCTGTGACGCATTACAGTTATTGTCCTGCATGACCTACAGGCTGTCAATCCCCACCCCCCTTGAGGGGGGTGTTGAGTCACATCACCACTGTAAGCGGTCAACTTGTTGATAGCTCCTTATTTCAAAACTTGTGAGAAACAAAGTTTCGTGCTGCTATCTTCTTTTGTCTGTTTTGTCAAACACTCCTTACTCACGTGCACTGAACCAAGGGCCAACAACAAATAGAAAACAAATGCTGTTTCTTTTGCAAATCACTTTTTCAGTGTCGCTGCAATTCAGTGGAAAAGGTATTCACAGGTACAGGTTCAGTTCTGACATTCTTGACAGTTTCGAAAGTGCACTTCGTTTACATGGAACATACATGAACATTCAATGAATGATATCCTCGCGGAATTTGGCTGAGGGTGGGTGGTGGGACACCTCTTAAATTGAGGTTGTTTTGCCCGTAGATGGGCGCACGGGAGCGGGGCCGGGTAGCCATTACTTCACCATTGGCTCTTCAACCGGTCGTGACAGCTCCCATCCTTTTTGGATTCTGGCATTTTTGCTGCTTTTTGTGTGGATTTTGCGCTGCCATTTTATTCATCGTTTGGATCTTGTCAGACAGTTGATGTGGATCAGTTTGGACCGTTTAGCACAGTGCAATCGACAGGCAGCGTTTTTGTTGAACATTCCAGATTGGTTCAGTGTCCAAGAGGTTTTGTTTTCGTCTTTGTCACCTGCAGAAGGACATCGATTGCTGCGATCTTGCTTAGCTCTGTACGTGGATCGTAAGGACTTGTTTTTGAGTTCAACTGCAATCAGGCTAGGCTATTCAGCCTCGGGCTTCAGTGTCCCGACACCTCCTTTACAGCCTTTTTTACCTGTGCCAGTTTTGCCAGTGGCGCTCGGACAAGGTGGGGCTTGGGACGATGCCTTGGAGATCGAAGACATTGACTCAGTTTAAGTCGTCACCTGAGGCTGAGGTGGAGCATTCAGAAAATGATTACGGTTTTGAGCATGTAGTTGAACCCCTTGCGCAGGACGATGACAATTTTGATTCGTTTGGTGCTTTACCTGAATCAGATGATGTTGTTGCAACTGGCATTTCATCTTCATCTGAAATTTTGCAGGGTGCAGTCATTGCCATGGCCGATTCAGCTAGGGTCAGATCGAAGAGACGGATGGATGCCCACAGCTTGGGGGCTGCGCAGGTCCCCAGAGGTCCGGTTTTGGACAATGAAATTTTTTCTCAAATGTTGCAAGATGCTTTCATTAGAAATGCAGAACCTATGTCAGTGGTCATGCCTTGGGAGAAAGGAGTTGCAAAGACAATCTTTTCAAAGGGGCCCAACGTCCTGAAGGTTCAGAAGCAGCAGTTGAGAAGTTGGGTTCAAGCCACTGACAACCTGTCGGAGGACGCAATTGCAGCAGGACCGACAATGGTTGGAGCCCCAAGTGCGACTTTGTCTGGAGCTCTGTTTGAGAAAGCCTTATCGGTTGTAACTGACCAGAATTTCTTGGAGAAACGACAGGAAGATCTGGATTTGGCAGTGGACAAATGGTTCAGCATCATCAGGATCAACCTTTTGGGGTCGGAGGTAGGCCAAACCATCATTGGACATGGAGGCAACATTCAAGAGCAAAAATTGGGTGCCTATGAAACGATCGAAGCAATCATCGGTGTCAGATCCAGGACAACAGCCATATCAAGGGCAAATGCATTGCTGAAATTTTTCAGTTGGAGAGCAGACTTCACTGAGGATGACGGCAAGCCGGTGACCGAGCAAGCCGCATGGAGCTATGTGGCAAAGCTCAGAGCAGATGGGGCTGCACCCACAAGGGCTTCAAGTTTTTTGGCTGCTTGCGGATATGCGTTGCATGTTTTTGGATTCAAAGATTTTGACTGCGTGTACAACAGCAGGAGAGTGAGAGGGATTGCAGAGATCATGCACTCTGGAAAAAACCCACTCAAACAGGCCAAGGTTCTTTCAGTTGCACAGGTTGTTGCATTGCACAGTTTAATGGAGGACAAGGCGGCAAATTTCATTGACAGGGCGCTTGCAGCCTATGCTCTCTTGGCCCTGTACGGCAGATGTCGACACAGTGACCTGGCGTTTGTAGATTGTGTGATGCACGATTTTGACTGGAAAGGTGGCTTCGTGGAAGTGTCGACAAGGTTGCACAAAACAGCCAAGAGCGCAACCCAGAAATCCCAATTACTTCCAATAGTCATCCCGGCAATTGGAGTGACCGGTCAGGTTTGGGTGCAGGAGGCCAGTGAAGCTTTTTCAGCTTGTGGTTTGAACCTGGACGGCTCTATCCAGGGACCGCTCTTTAGGCCCCACATGGCAGCCGGTGGAGGGCTGTGCAAACGGGGCTTGACTTCGTCAGAGGTTACCAAGTTTTTGAGACTCCTTTTTGAGTGCAATGACAACAATGTTGATGGGCCCCGGGTGTCGTCGCATAGCCTCAAAGCTACTGCACTGTCATGGGCCTCAAAATTTGGATTGCCCATTCCCGACAAAGCAATCTTGGGAAGACATGCCAGCGCGACCACAGAAGCCCATGCGATCTATTCGCGAGACCTCTCGGTAGCATCTGTGATGAAACTGCAAGACATCATTTTGCGGATTTCGCGCTTGGAGTTTCAACCGGACAATCCCCGCAGGGGGTACTTTGCTGAGGAAAACGCACCTTGCGCAGAGCCAGATGCCATTGAGTTGGTGAAGGTCGAAGAGGATTCACCTGCCCAGGAGGGCGTTGAGAATGAGAAAGAAATGGACAAAGAGACCATCTCTGACCACCAGAGTTCAAGTGGCTCTTCATCTGAGGAGTCATCAAGCTCAGATGAGGAGGTAAGACCGCCTCCACCTAAGTGTTATAGGCACACGGCCAAGGACCATTTGGCGGGCCGCTTTGTGAGCCACAAAACATCGAAGTTGGTCCACTATAAGGACTCTGTGGTGGGTGAATCGAAAGCTGTTGGCAAAGCCGTCTTGTCATGCGGCCGGGTGCTGAACTCAAACTATGACATTGTCGTACATTTCGACACAGTAGCACTTTGTAGAAGATGCAAGGTGAATGCAGTCAAAGATGGATTGCTACCGCCAGTTTAAAACAAGTGCGTTGTGTCTCTCACATGGTGAGGTGAATGGGTAAAGCACCCAAGCATGGATGCATGGCATCTCATGGAATTGCGTGGCAACCTTGTTTTGGTTTGTTCATTCAGGATTGCATGGCATCCTTGGTCTCTTGATGCATTGGCTCGGAGATGCATGACAGGATTAATTGACATCAAGTTTTCATGATTACATGCATGGCACTTTCAATTGCTTGTCACATTTCCAACATGTGCTTTAAAGGACGTGTGAGTGAAATACTTCATTTGTTCGAGTTTGCAATCTGATGTTAATAGGTGTTAAACGCTTGGGTTCGCAATTTGTTTCATTGTTTGCAGGTCTCCATAGTTGATTCCTCGGCTGGACTCAATGGCGTCCCTCCTGGATTCTGAAGCACAATTCATTCAGAGGACTTTGGATCTCAAACTATCTGATGAACTGAAGAGGAGCCTTAAGACTGCAAACTTACAAACGTTTGGAACACTGGCTTACGCACATGGACAGCCGGGTCAGAACATTGTGGACTCAGCTTTTGAGACGTGGCTTACTTCAAACATTTTGACAGGTGCGAGTGTTGCTGACATCGCAGGTGCCAAAAGGCTTTTATTCGAGTCACAGACCATGGTTCTTGCTGCCTTGCAGGATTCTGTGAATGCCCCTGACAGTTCATCCATCAAGAAGGTGCCCAATGCTGAGCGTGAGACCAAAATGAGGTCTTTGAAAAACAGATTGAACGGGTTGCTCATCGAGGGCCCACTTGAACCTGGACATTCACTACTTGATCTTGCGGCAAGTATGTATCAACAAAATGAAATTCGTTACATTCCTCCTGAAAAATCGGTTAGCAGGACACATGAAGTGTTGACGCAGAAGAGCCCGTCAAAAATGCTGGATATCTCATCGGAGAGTTTGATCATTAAGGAAAAGACCGAAGTCCAGGACATGGTTGTATCTTCGGCGTTGCAAGTCCAAGAGTCTCTGCAGCGCAGAGGCTTGGCCCTGGTCTTCGCGGACCTGGTTCAACATGCAAATTATACCAGGTACCTCACTACGTTGTTCTCGCATTTGCACAGGGAGCCCCCTGCAGGGTATAGCCGATGCTCAGTGAGTCAGATCGTGGCCGCCGACAAACTGGTGTGGCAGGCTTTGTTGGAGGAAGGGGTGCAACCAAAGAGAGATGATGCAGGTGTGTTGGCATTGGACACCAAGTTGCTCAGCACTTTGGAGAGCTATCGAGTTTCATTCAGTCTGCTTCCTTTGATTGCCAAAAAGGAAGGTCCAGGGAACATCCAGAAGAAGAACAAACCGCAGCAGCCTTGGTCGAGCGGAAAGGGTGCAGTGGCCACCACACAGAAACCTTGGTTGAAACAGAAAGGAGGCAAGAAAGGTGGCAAATCCAAACAGCGTGTGCCATCTCACATATTCAAGCTGGGAGGAACTGCCTCCAACCCAGAGGGGGAGCCCATTTGTTTTGGATTCAATTCGGAGGGTGGTTGCTCCGAAGCTGCTGACGGAGCCAAGTGCCGCAGAGGGTTGCACATATGCTCCAAATGTTACGCCTCTCACAGTATTTTGCAGCATGGTAATTGACTACATGCACAAGCCGAAACCTCAGATTTATCAACTGATAGTGCAAAAGCATCAGGTGGTAAGTCTTCTTGCGATGTTGACATGGAAGTTCCAAATTTTGTTCATGACAATCCAGCAGATTCTCAGGGTGTCTCCTCGTCAGCCCATAATCCATGCAGTGAGCGTGTTGGCAGAGATGAACAATTTTCCGCAGTTCTCCGAGACCCAGAGAATTCTTGTGAGGCGGCTCAGCCCTTTGTGCATCAGCAACAGACTGAAAGTGGAATTGGTAGTTTTGAACAATTTGGTGCAGATGGAGTGCGAAGTCATTTCATTCAGAACAATTTTTCTTTTTCTGAAGAGCAAATTGCTTGCCCTGTCATAATAGAGGTATTCTGCGGGAGCGCAAGGGTCACAGCCAGTCTGAAGGAGCTTGGTTTGGTTGAATCCTTCGGCGTTGATCACGATGTTGACAAGGCGATTGCAACTGTGAAGAGATTGGATTTGACACTTAGCAGGGATCAACACATTTTCAAGCAGTGGATGAAATCCCCTCTTGTTGTTGGCATCTTTTGGGCACCCCCATGCGGTACTTGTTCATTGGCCAGAAACATTCAACTTCGGGACTCGGTTGGCAGGAAAATCCCAGGACCAGTGCCGTTGAGATCGCATGAACTTCCAGAGGGTTTGACTGGTTTGAGAGGTAAGGATCGTCGCAGAGTATCTGCGGCAAACAGGCTGTACGAATTTTTGTCTGAGGCGATCCAGGAAGCTCTGGCCAGGGGGCTCATTGTCGTTGTCGAAAATCCACGTTCTTCACTTTTCTGGTTGACGAGATTTTGGAAATCAGTTGCAAAGCATTTCAATTATACATCCCATCAAGCATGCGCATACGGAGGTGACAGGCCGAAGTGGACAGTGCTAGCTTGGAATCATCAGCGTTTCAGTCACATCAACCTGTGTTGTTTAGGTGAGTCACCTTCTCACATACACAAACCTTGGGGAATCGTGCAATCTACACAGGGAACGCATTTCTCGACCAGCGAAGAAGCTGCTTATCCGAGAGGCCTAGCAAGGGCAATTGCCAAAGCTTTCGCTGACATTCTGGTAAGTCATGGGTGGAGTCCACCGCATGAATGTTTTCAGCTGCAGTCACATGACATCAATTTAAAAACCATGAGAGCAGTAGCCACTGCTCAGCCGAAAGCCTCTCGCATTCCTCCAGTGGTGCGTGAACACAAGCAGGTGGTAGTCGTGCGAGGCCCAGCACATGTACTCAATGACATGCCGGTGGAACCAATGCAGCGATTGAAATCTTCTTTACATATCCCAACTGAGTGTGATGCTGCGTTGCGAGTCCTACCAGAAGGGGCTCAGTTGTTAAGGGTCACACCACTGCGGTCAATGGGGGGTATTGCGTCACAATCATCAGCATTTTCCAACTGCATGGAACAAGCTTGGGGTATTCCTTTTTCTCCTGAAGAATTCATACAAGAAGCTGTGAGCAGAGGACATCCAAAACTAATTTCGTCGTTGGTACCCCCAGTGCTGATGGAGGCTGTTTTTCACAATTTTCAAAACGAGGATCTGGGTCACTTGCCGAAGCTGAGGGCCGACTGGTTTAGCAAATGGACAGCCAGGGCAAAGGAGCTTCAACCAGCAGAGATGGAGATGAAAGCGGGCATGCCTGCACACATAGCAAATATTTTGAAGCCAAAGCGGCTGCTTCTCTGGAAAGAAATTTTGCTGGATTTGGGATATCCAGATGCAGATGTGGTGTCAGAATTGGCAAACGGTACTGAGCTTGTAGGGGAAGTTCCCACCTATGGCATCTTTGAGAAAACTTTCAAGCCAGCAGAAACAACGGTGGACAGTTTGTGCAAGGAGGCGAAATCGATCAAGCAGAAGCACTATCATAGCTGCAGGTCGTCAGGGGACAAAGAGATAGATGAGCTTGTTTGGAAGAAGACCCAAGAGGAAGTCGAGCTTGGATGGGCATCCGGCCCCATTGATATAGCAAACCTGCCAGCTGATGCAATTGTAAGCCGACGTTTTGGACTCCGACAACCTGGGAAGATACGCTTGATAGATGACTTGTCGGCTAGCAATGTCAACCAGACGGTGCAATGTGCAGAATCACCCAAGCCGCAATCAATCGACTTCGTGGCTGCCCTGCTGTTGACGATTCTGAAAAGTAGCGGAGGAGCACAAATCCAAGGCAGGTCCTTCGATTTAAAAAGCGCTTATAAGCAACTTGCAATAGCTGAGTCATCCTTGCAGTTTGCCTTTGTAGCCATATATAACCCCTATAAGAAAAGGGCCGAGCTGTATCAGTTGCTTGCAGCACCTTTTGGTGCAACAAGAAGCGTGTATTCATTTTTACGTATCTCACATGCCATTTGGTTCACTGGTGTCAAAGCTCTGAAAATCATGTGGAGTGTGTTTTTCGACGACTATGTGGTTTTCTCTCAGAAGCTCCATGTCAAAAGTACGGAAGCCACTGTTGAACTCTTGTTCAGACTACTGGGGTGGAAATTTGCAGAAGAGGGTGAGAAAGCGACATGCTTTGGTGATGATTTTTCAGCGCTGGGTGTACGCCTCAATTTGGAGAATGCGAACTTGGGAAAAGTCAGTTTCATCAACACAGAGAAACGCATTACAGAGCTGACCAGCGCCATAGAGGATATCATCAGGAAGGGTCGGATGACTGTTTTGGAATCGCAGAAGCTTAGAGGGAGAATGCAGTTTGCAGATGGACAAGTCTTTGGTCGTTTGGGAAAGTTGTGCATGAAAGCCATAACGCAACATGCTTTTAAAGGTCGGGGTGATAAACTTGAGAAACCGACGGTTGATGCCTTGAGAAGATTTGTGATTTTTCTTAACCATGCAGAGCCTCGAAGTTTGGAATTGGCGTCCGACTCTGTTTGGACCATTTACACCGATGCATGCTATGAGCCTCAACGGACCGACTGGGTATGTGGTCTGGGTGGGGTGCTTGTGAATCCGCTTGGTGAAAAGGTGGCATTCTTCTCAATGGAGTTGTCAACAGAACAAAGGCGTGCGTTGGGTGCTGAGTTCAAAAAGACCATCATCTTTGAAGCGGAACTGCTGGCCATGGTACTGGCTTTTTCTGTCTGGAGGTCAATCATTGGATCTTCAAGTGTTATTTGTTTTGTGGATAACAACTCTGCAAGGGATGTTGCAATTTCAGGATGTGGCAGAAACTGCGTTGCAAGCATTTTGGTAGAGTTCCTTCTGAAGCTCGAAATGGCTACAAACGTAACACCATGGTACACCCGTGTACCCACGCCATCAAATATAGCAGATGACCCTTCACGAGGAGTTGTCCAGTATTTGATAGAATCTGGAGCTGAGTGTAAAATTCCTGAGACTGAACTTCAGGATATCATCAAGATACTTTTGGAATCATCGGTTAAGAGGGGAGATATTGAACAGTGATTTCTTTGCCTTACAAGCTGCGAAAGAGCATCTGGTCATTTGTGGGACAGTTTTCGTCAGCTTGACATTTTTGCAACGAGCTTGACTGGATCAGTGAAGCTGGTGGCTGAGTTCACAGCCCATTGGACATACAGGATTTATCGATCCCCCATGTCACCGTTGGAAAAGGGCCGCTGTGTGTTCTTCAATCGTCAGCAGTGATGGAACTTTTGTGGATGCGTTTTTGTTTACAGCCGAGTTTGCATTTAGGGTTTCGACTGGTTCAGTTTGGCATTTTCCCCGCCACCCTTGGTTCAGTTTGGCGTTTATCCCTTGGTTTGCGGCGTATACACGTGGGGGTGGGACATGAGTAGGTAGCAGCCACAAGTTTTGAAATAAGTAAGCGGTCAACTTGTTGATAGCTCCTTATTTCAAAACTTGTGAGAAACAAAGTTTCGTGCTGCTATCTTCTTTTGTCTGTTTTGTCAAACACTCCTTACTCACGTGCACTGAACCAAGGGCCAACAACAAATAGAAAACAAATGCTGTTTCTTTTGCAAATCACTTTTTCAGTGTCGCTGCAATTCAGTGGAAAAGGTATTCACAGGTACAGGTTCAGTTCTGACATTCTTGACAGTTTCGAAAGTGCACTTCGTTTACATGGAACATACATGAACATTCAATGAATGATATCCTCGCGGAATTTGGCTGAGGGTGGGTGGTGGGACACCTCTTAAATTGAGGTTGTTTTGCCCCCACCCTCCTCACCCTTGGCAAAACAACAACTTGGTACAGCTACAGCTTTTGAGGCAGCCTTTGCAAAGTGCCTCTACTCTTGTCGAACTCATGATTGAACTATATGTTCTTTGCTGTCAACTTCTTGACAATAGCACCTGTGTTATACAGTGATCTCGCCGGTTCTGACGAAGATTTTTCAACTTGTGCTACTGGGAGATATTGAACAGTGATTTCTTTGCCTTACAAGCTGCGAAAGAGCATCTGGTCATTTGTGGGACAGTTTTCGTCAGCTTGACATTTTTGCAACGAGCTTGACTGGATCAGTGAAGCTGGTGGCTGAGTTCACAGCCCATTGGACATACAGGATTTATCGATCCCCCATGTCACCGTTGGAAAAGGGCCGCTGTGTGTTCTTCAATCGTCAGCAGTGATGGAACTTTTGTGGATGCGTTTTTGTTTACAGCCGAGTTTGCATTTAGGGTTTCGACTGGTTCAGTTTGGCATTTTCCCCGCCACCCTTGGTTCAGTTTGGCGTTTATCCCTTGGTTTGCGGCGTATACACGTGGGGGTGGGACATGAGTAGGTAGCAGCCACAAGTTTTGAAATAAGCGGCAGTATCTTACTACAGAGACTGGACTCCAACTTCACTTATCATCATAGGACAAACTTTGGCAATGAGAATGGCAACTGGTATGAGCTGTATTGTCAGCTATTCCTGCTTTGCCTACCTTTCAGAGAGCTGGAGTGACAGTCACGGTTGTATGGACGATGAGAATCTGGGTGGTCGTGTACTATCGTTTTCGCTCTGCCGCACTTAATTAGTTTGCATGTTTTTGGTGATGATACAGTGACTTAGGTCACTGTGTCCAAGGCAAATCTCAAGTTGATTTGTTGGTTTTTGTTTGGGCCCGGCCCCGTTCTCTGTTGCTTCGCTGTTTTGCTTTTTGGCGAAACGCAAATCTGGCTGGGGGATTTGCGGGTCGTTGTTGGTTGCGTTTTTTGGTTTGTTTGTTTTTTGTGTTATGATGATTTGCCCGCGGTTTTGGACCACACGAGTCCTTTTTCTAGATGCTTTTCACCGCTTACGCTATTGTAAGGACCGTGCCTAGTGCGAATCGGCCAAACCGGAGGAAAAAAAAAAAGTGCTCTGGTCAATGAGGCTCGTGTTGCTGTCTTTCCCACATCCCAATCGTCTCTGACTCTTGTGGCCATCAATGTGAACTATGCCCAAACGAGAAAATCGTCCATGACAGGCCACGCAGAAACCTTGGGGCAAGCGTTGGATGCTGTCATCCTGAAGCAGTGGAATCAAGATTGGAAGAGAGCTTGCCAGAGCCGGCAGTGCAAGATGGATTGCCAGGTGGGCCTTCCGGAGGGCTTCGGAGGCCGGGCTTATATATACATTTTTCGTCGATGAGATGTTTGACCCTTGTAATGCTTTAACTTTGTGTAAAGGCACGACAAATTTAATGACTTTTTGCAACGTGTCTACGCTGTTCTCCATCTCGTCCTCTAGCGGATTCAAACAATTTTTCCTGTTCATGCGGATATGTTTGCTGCTCTAATAATGCTTGCCAGCTTTGGACTTTGGCGTTGAAATTGCAGAACATGACTTTGCCACTCTTGCCTGTAAGGTTCAGAGGTTGAAGCAGATTGCACTCGGGATGCTGCCACAAGCCCAGACAATGCTCCGCCGCTGGAACAAGAGGCTTCCTTTGATGTGGGCTCTCTACGTGTTCCATATGATGAACATGCTTTTGCACCTGCAACGCAGCCGCGGAGACCAGTCGATGAGAGTGAGGATGAGAATGATGAAGGGGACGCGGGAGAAGTTGACATGGAGCCACCCCAAGAGCCTGCTGAACACTTGGCCCTGTGAAAAATCATCCTATGCATAGCTAGCGTAGCGATCTTGTGCTTGTACTTAGGTAGTTGTTAGTTGCTTTGTAGTTGTAGTTTGTGGACTTGCGTAGTTTGGACTTTGTTTTGTAGTTAGCAGGTGATTGTGATGTAGTTAATCGATCTCATCTCATTCCGTCACAAAGAGTTGTGACGGAGTTGCCATTTTTCGTTGGTAGTTAGCCGTTTTTAGGTTTTTTGCACGTTGTAGGTTATTCCACACGAGAACCAAACTGCACGAAACCAATCTTAGGTTTTTGCCACGTAGAAGTTTTTTTTTGCACGTGTCTAGATTTGTAGAATCGTTTCTGGAACTGCTATGACCCAACGTAAACGTTGGCTCAAGACCCGCGAGTTCGAAAAGGGTGAGTGTGTCGCCGTGAGACGGCCTGGGAAAGCTGACACAGACAGAAACGCGAAGCGACCACCGTTTGTTTGTGTTTTGGTTTGGGTTTACTTTGTGCACGAGAGGTTTGAAAGCGGTTTTCGCGATCTAACTTTGTGTGTCAAAGTTTTACGTGGTAGCGGAGCTTGTGTGCCCCCTCCACAAGAGATCCTGTGAGGATCTGGCACGCCTGTGTGCGTCTTGTGTGTGCCTGGTTCCAGGGAAGTTGGTGTGAGTTGCGTTTGACTGTCGTGTGTTTGACTTCGAGGTGTCAGAAATGTCTCAATCAGGACAACCACAGCATTTTCGAATGGACGGCCAAGGTACCCAGAGCGGAGAGAAAGGATATGGTAAGGGTTTTCAGGCAGGTGGACCGACTGGACCGTACCCTGTTGGAGAAGTTGGACCGGGGAGTCCGCAACCTGCGTCACCGACGCACCAAGAGCAGCCTAGTATGCCAGGAAGTCCAGGTCCGCAAGGTCCTTTGTTCACGCCAGATCAGTTGACCCAGATCGCACAGATCTTCCGCATGGGAATTGAGCCTGTCGTAAGGGAGATGAGTACGAGACTTGACAGTTTGCAAGCTCAGGTGACTCGCGTTCCAGAGGGAACTGCAGCCTTGCACGGTGCGAGACCGGCTGATGCATCCTTGTCTTCAGGTTTAAGCAGTGGACCTTCACGGTTTGGTGAACAGCCACCCACGAGTCCAGGACCTGCGTTCCGACCTGTGGGGTCGCCGCCAGGTATAGCACAAGTGACACCCCAGAGGGGGGAGAGAAATCCGAATCAAGATGACGACAGAGATGGTCGTGACATCTTTAGTAAATCTGAGAAATGGTTACCTCCTATGCCCACTGTGGATTTCAGGAATTGGAAAACCCGTGCAGATGAAGTCCTTGGATTTTCGGACTGGGTTCAGGCGCTACGTGCTTGGGTTTCCTTAGGAAGTGACATCTTTGCCTGGGAGATTGCCCAGTGCATTGGTTGGGAACAAGAGATCCATATGTCTGTGCTGAAGCCCGCTCAACAGACCCGCAGCGCGCGTCTTCTTGCAATCCTCATCCAGACGTTTAAGGATTTCCCAAGGGGGAACACCATGCTGCAAGCTTATGTTGAAGGAGTTGGTGTTGATGGAGCGTTCTTGGCAACTAGAGGTACGAGTGGTTTTGAAGGTTTGCGTTTGTTGGCAAGAGAGTTTTCTTTGCGTTCAAGGGCAGAAGCGTCTTTCTTTCGCACTGAGTTTTTGGCAAAGACGTTCAAAGCGTCTGCTGGTGTTACTCAGGTCAGTGACATCATTCGCCAGATTGACGTCGGACTGTCAAGGTTTCGCAAGATGATTGAAACTCTACCTGCAACTGTGTCCAGAGTTGGACTTGAGGTGCAAACAAGTGATCTGACCATCATGCTTTTACGTTCGCTGCCACATGATGTTCGTTCGTACACCACGTTACATGCAGCAGGTGATGCATACACCGACCTTCGCACTGCTGCGTTGCGTTTTGAGACGCAGCAACGCATGTTTGCTGAGTTGAGTGGCCCATCTTCATCAGGTGCACGAGGTGTGCATGCACTTGAAAGTGCCGAGACCGCTGAAGAGTGGTGGGGATACGATTAGGAAGGTTATGACAACTCTGAGTATGCCCAGGAAGAAGATCCTGATGATCAATGGGAATGGGACGAAGATGCACAGGTTTGGATCAGTGCTACTGTTGCCAAAGGAAAGGGAAGTCCCAAGAGCACGATGAAGTGTCATCTGTGTGGGAGGCGAGGCCACATGGCCAAGGAAT